GAACCCGAATGCTCGGTACACAGCCTGAACGCTCGGTATCCAGCCCGGACGTGGCCCAAAATAGACCGAGCCCGAACCTTTTTCTTTTTGGAGTTTTGGGGCATTCTTTTGAGCATGGAAAAATGCCAAAATTGGGGCACTTTTTTTTTTTTTTTTTTTTTTTTTTTTCAATGTGCTGGTGGCCTCCACATCCCTCGGGCCTGCAGATTCCCAGGTAGGTCCCTCAGACCACAGCGTACTCGCTGAAAAGCCAATTTCTGACGGGCGCGAAGAAGGGGTGCTTCATGGAATGCAGAAATCAGGTTCCAAGACCGCGAGTCGTTTGCACTGTTCGCTGAAAGCTGGGCTCATTCCCAGCTTTCCCAAAGGGTCCATTATGTTCATTTATGAACACTACTGGTAGTTCCGTAATATCGTCGCCTGGTTGCTCACTGTCGCCTGCGGGTAGTAGTAGCCCCAGCAGGAAGCAAACCTGCACTCCTGAGAACGACACTGTAGCCTGAGGCTGTCAAGGTTGAGGCATGGCATCTGTTGATGGCTCCTCTCTATTGATTAGGACCTGGGATCTGCACCTGCTGCAAACTGGGTCCAGCACCCCCTGATTGATATAAAAGCAGTGAAATCCGGAACCGCAAAGGCTGGGCTCCTGTCTGGAATGTGAAGGCAAACAGACCTGCTCAAGACGCCCCCCTGCCTATTGATACTGCTACCATACCCCCGGGGTGTGTGATGCGCACAGCATCGCACAGGGCAGAAGAAGCTTGTACACTTTTTGTTGTTTTTCATTCTTGCTTCTTACTGGGGTAAATTGTGTATCCTGTCTGGTAGGGGCAAGCGTTGCATTTTTTTTAATTTTTTTTTGTAAAAAAAAAGGGCCACGGCCTTAGAGATATTATCATTGAGCTTACCGGCCCCAGGCAATTCATTAGTAGTTGGTTTTTTACTCATGTAGTTGGTTTTACTCGTCAAATTCCATCAATATCTGGATTCGAACACAGCACCTGGTCTGTATTTCAACAGTTCATGGGTGTGGTCCCCACTGAGCTAGGCTCTTGGGCAAGTGTTGCACTTTTGCCCCTTGCATCTGTGGTAATTTCTCTTTCAGTCGCCGTATTGAAGCTCAGTAGATTTTAAGATAGATGGTGCACTGGTACTTCCCTATACATTTTTTTTTCTCGACGAGGAGGGCCCTCGATTCAATTCCCTCTCTTGCATTTTACCCCTTAAGACTTCCTCCATCTTTTCCTCCATCTTTTTCCGATCGTTTTTTTTTTTTGTATGTCTTTTCGTCTTCGATACCCTGAAGCTCCTCTGATCTCACAATGACTACAACAAGCAAGTCAAGGGCCTTGACCACACATAGAGTGAGGTTGACTCATCTGCCTTGCCCTCACATGCTGTGCTCTTCTTTGGGCCTCTTCATCCCTTCCGTCTATCATGCACTTCACACTTATGTACAAACCTTGCATAGTCAATATGACTCGATAGCCAGGGGGCTACAAGTTCTCCGTTGGCAGGGCATCCTGGCTAGACAGTCAGGGGTGGGGGCCGGACGTCCGGGCTCGGACAACTCGATTTTCAGCAGTTTAAACCACTAGCACGTTTGCCGCCGCTTCAGAAATGAGGGAAAACGCCAGCTCCCGAAGAATTTGGAGGCCGGGCCCAATGAAGGCTGCCACTGATAAATCTAATCGGTGGACGTCGTTTCGTTTCGCCCTCCTGAAAGGTCGGAGGCCCGCTATTTTCCAAACTGACAAAGGTACAAGTGGTTTAAAAGCAGAAAAAAAAATAAAAAATAAAATTGGCGTGCCTTTAATTTTATTTTTCACTTTAAAATTCAAATTCGTTAAAGAAGTTGGATGTGACCTCAAGGCAAAAGTTATTTTCTTTTTCTGCATTACATAGTTATTTTTCGGTTTTTTTTTTGTTTGTTTGATTTTAATACTTTTTATGTTTCTTTTTTTTTTTTGGCGTTCAGGCTTGGACTGACTTCCCCCGGAGGACGTCCGACCGGTTGTCCGACCACACAACCCCGGACGTCTGGCCCAGTATCATAGCTCAATAGTGCTCATACATAGCTCAATAGTGCTCATACATAGCTCACTAATAGTGCTCATACATAGCTCAATAGTGCTCATAATTCTTTAGGATTTTGGAGATTTCTCTATTGACCCACACGATCATCGAGGCCAAACACTTGCCGGTGGGTGAGTGGTAGGAATGTCGAGACAGCAGAGCATATGTGTTGATAATGACTGATGTGTTCGAGGTGCTACGAAGGGGTCGCGACTCTGACACGGATCACCACTAGAATGCATCCTGCATCCTTCTAGTGGGGTGAACACTTGGCAGCTGGAAACGTAATCGAATGTGATTTTTTTACTGGAAGTCAAGAGGACCCACACGAGACCCTGAACGCTGAGTTGCTACGAAGTGTCGCGACTCTGACACGGATCACCACTAGAATATGGGATCACCACTAGAATGCATCCGACAACCTCTTAGTGGGGTGAACACTTGGCAGCTGGACACGCGAGAGGCACACAGGACCCTGAATGCTGCACGCGAGTGCGAGAGGAGATGATTCACGTAATGTGCGGAAAGGAGTATTCGCCCATGGGATGGCGAGATTGACTGTGTGTGTGCGTGGAGTTGGGAGGTGAGGTGAAGACGAGAGTTGTGTGTGTTGAGAGCAGAGTGATGGTAGAAGTCATTGCATGGATCATCGAAGCAACTCGTTTTCTAGAATGACAGTTGTTGTCTGAAGCTTTTCTCTAGCCTTTCATTTTTGTCTCCGAGCAGTCGCGGAGGTCTCACTTCCACTTTCATTATGTCGCTCTGTGGATTCATGTTCGTCTCCTTTCCATGACATATAACTCTACTTGTTGCAACAAGTGTGTTGAAATTTTCACTACGCACAACTCCACAGAAAAAAGGATGACTGCACCAGACTGTTTCATCAGCCTCTCACTAACTCACTACACATATGTGTGTGTGTGAATGATGATGGTGTTGATTGTTTGTTTCTTACCATCATCAACACACACAGAAAGTGCACTCTGCGACATACTGAAACTTTGACGACTGATATTTCTAGTCGATTGAAGTGTCACTAGTGTTGCTTTTGATTCAATTTCCAGTTTCCTGTGATCATCATGAAAGAGAGCCTCCCTCCGTACAATGCCTTTTGGTTCATGTTCAATTGGATCATCATCCTGTCATTTAGCTGAAGTTTATAAACGAAACAATTTGATGTGAACATTGCATGCGAAGGCAAGTACCTCTCCATGCTGGTTTCGTTTTCATATTTCCTTCCCCCAACCGCAGCATGCATTTCTGGTTGCTCTCATTCCTATCAGATCTCTTTGCCAAAGTTTTTGAGCTTACGCAACCCCCTCCCTTGCATCACTCACCAATTGAGAATGCTTCTCCCGTCCCCTGAGCTTCACACGTAGAATCTGGTTCTATCCGGTTCCCTTTCTCACTTGCCCATTTTCCCCTGGCCACATTCCCTGCTTCCCCCATTTCAACAATGATGGGTTTGTGTTCTGTCTAGTTTCAGCCAAACCGGATCTGAAAAGCTTCTCCTCCGTCTTCTCCTTCGTCTTCTTCGTCGTCTTCTTTTGGGATCTGAAAAGCTTTCTATAAAAAATCTCTTTGCAAAAATTTGCAGTTTCCCTTTTCACTTCCTTCCACCATCCGCTAGAAATTCTCCCATGGCCTGAGCTTCACATGTGGGCTCCGGTTCCGACCGGAGAAGTTCTCCCATGGCCTCTGCGCTTCACGCATGGGGTGCGGTCCCAGTGGGCCGAAGTTTTCCTATGGCCTGAGCTTCACACATGCGGTCTGGTCCCCAACTGGGCGAAAGTTCTTCCATGGCCCGAGCTTCACAGTTTCGACTGGGGAACCCGCATCCTTGGCCAGAATCCAGTGGGCATTACGGAGTTGCTCAATGGCCAGAATCTTTGGTGCGTTCCCTGCTTCTCCCATGTTAACCCCTGGATACACTGCGGTGCACATTACGGAGTTGAATCATCATGAGGAGGCTAGCTCAACAGGCACCATTGCTGATCACACAAAATGAACAATGCTAGACAATAATCACCTAAGGTACCCGGTCCTTCCCGGACACCTCTACCCTCTTCCCCGACCATAACGCATATAACGGCTGCTCAATTAGACCACAGACGCATTGTGACCTATATGCTGTATTCGTTTAATTTGCGCATGCATTATGTTCAGGGGAAGACAGTATGAGCCTTACTTAGGTCACCTCAGCTGCCAGTATCTACCAGGAACCGGACCAGCTCTTTGACAATGCTTCGATTCCCATCCATGCCCAGACTGCACTCCTTGAAAAACTGGCACAACACTTTTGTCCACTTGCTCTTGCCATCCGCGAGCTTCACACATGTGTCAGTCGCGTCCTCCCCCAAGGGCGTGCAATTGGCTGGCCAGGGCACCGATTATGGATGCCATGTCGTCAGCAAAGAACGTACACTCAAGTGTCTGGGTTCCCGTTTTTTTTTTTTTTTTTTTTTTTTTTTTTTTTTTTTTTTTTTTTTTTTTTAACACCCTGTTAATCAGCGAGGGCCAGGCCCAATCCCGTGTCTGTGCTGATAATACTGTGAAGGTGCGCTGCATCTGTGAAGGTGTGCTGATAATCCTGTGAAGGTGCACTGCATCTGTGAATGTGAACTGCATCTATGCACCCGTCTTACCTATTTCATACCTTCAAAGGCTGAGAATGGAGTTCTTTCTTCCGACTTGCATTCGGCCTCTGCTAGGGCAAGCAGAAGGTACACTCGATGGCACAATTGCTGCCGAAATCCCCTCCTCGGAGTCCTTCCGCCCTCTTCTACATATTCTTGGCCTCCTGGGAGTCCATGAAACCTACTGCTTTCTTCATTTTCTCTGCTTTGCTTCTCAACTACTTCTATCTGGACTCTGGAGGTTTCACCTCCCGGGACAAAAACGACCTGAACCGGCGACTTCTAGCGTCCGTAACCCCAGCTTTATCCAGCACCTACTTTATCTCAACTACTACTAACATGATATACTCGGGCGGATCTGTCTGCCCTAAACACACAAACTTTATGGGTGGAACAATACAGCAAAAAGATTAGCATGACCCTCACAAACTTTATGGGTGCAAGCAAGGATGGCATTCACAATTCGAAAAGTGGCCGCTAAGCGAGAACGAAAACCAACGAAACTTCGAAGTGCAAAACTCCGGTTCGTCCTTTTCTTGTCTTTTTTCTTTGATTTTTTGCCTTTACACTGAACACCACGTGTCCTCTGCAGCTATTTTTTGTGTACAACCTCTAGACTTCCACTCTGCGCTTTTGCTGTCGATTTCTCTCCACTATTCTCAGTTCTATATATCGATAGACTGACTGCTTCCGTTTACTTCCATCGAAAGAACTGCGAAAGAACTGCCATTCTGAATAATTGCTTCCACTCAATTCCAGGAAAAAAAAAACAACATAACTCGCTCTCCTCAACATGTGCTCTAGCCTGCAACAACGGCGACTTTTGACTTTGTTATGCGGCTCTACTGATCGACCTCTGACAACAGGTAAGTTCACTAAGTTGGCCAAACAGGAACTTCCGCTCAACAGATTCAGGTGGGTATCATACAGCATACAGTACGCTATCACGCACGCACGATTTATCATGTTTTACAGTTGTAGTAAAAAACTTGAGAAAAGTTCAAAAAAGTTGAAAAACTAACATTTACGTCCGCAGTGTCGAGCAAAAAGTTCCCGGTGCACCAAAAAAAGAACAGCACAGTGATCACACACGAAAACTCAGGCGGGCAAGTAGACATACATATACAAACACACAAAACACACAACACACAAAGGGGTTTCAAGTGGCAGTAAAACCAGATAGGGAAGAACTTGCACATTCCCAGCATGACAAAAAAAAAAAAAAAAAAAAAAAAAAAAAAAAAAAAAAAAAAAAAAAAACTTGCATAACCAGAAGGGGGAAGGGGGGGGGGGGGGGGGGGGGGGGGGGGGGAGGGAACAACACCTGACTTCAAACATCTCTCCGCTACTACGTTGTTGCAAGGAAGAGGCAAAGAGCCATACAGTCATAACCCGGAGCTATCGTGCTCCTCCACCTTAGGAGAATATCAAGCTCCAGACCACTGAAGTGCAGATTTCATTTACTTACCAATCGGCTCTGGGAACAGTGTCTAAACCTGCACCAATAAGCCTTTTCCTCAGAGATCGCTGACTATCCATCTCGAGCAATGCTCTTCTAGCACCATTCTCCCACTGGCCGATAGTCAAAAGCGTCTGCCACACGGTGGACAAAACACGTACGCTGGGCTCTACAAATGGTCATCTCCCTTGAAGCTGAAGAACACTTCATTTTTTCGTTCGCAACGGGAGCATGTGCTGACCAAATGCTCCCCTAAAACCGGCGTACCATAACTGGGGATTAACCCTGTCACCAAGTGGCCAGACATGCGCTCGCGGAGGCAGCATGTCATCGCCGCCATCCATCGGAACATTGGATTCAGAATGGTCTCGTGCTCGTTCATTTTGTTCGACTTTCTCATCCGCTGTGCTGCCGACGACATCGACACATCTGCAGCTCGATGATACCAAAATATACACTCTAGCATCATTGATCAAACACTCTCAAAGTATTGAAAGCCGCTTCGCTTGCTCTTCAAAGTGCTGCTGCTTCGACCACCACCACACAAAGTGTATCCCTGCAGCGTTTGCAGCTTCCACAATTGCCTCCAGATGGAAGTAGTTGATCAAGACAGTGCTTACGACACAACAATACAGGCAGGGAAAGGGGCAGAGTGGACAGACAAAGACCTAATGAGTGCAGTTCTTGGGAAGGTTTCTGATTATGTTTGACTTGAGACCAAGCTTCAGCTGGGACGCTTCTGTGCGCAGGGCTGCCTTAGCAATAGGGTCATGCCGTCGAGGAATACGATCTGCCTGCCGTGTAGCCAACCCCAAAGATCGATACCTGCCACATTGTGCACAAAAAGATCGATCAGATATTACGTCGCTTGGGAAGAACGGATATTGAAATCACCGGGCGCTCTTTACTGACAATTCAAAGACCAAGAATATACCAGCTGCAATACCCAACAGAGAATATACCCAAGCCCAGAGTCGACTCACCGTGCACTCTTTCTTCCTCACAATTCAAAGACCAAGGATATACCAGCAGCGATACCCGACAGAGTATATACCCAAGCCCAGAGTCGACTCCAACAGGGGTACAAGCACCCTCTTGATTCTTGTTCAATTTGGCTAGGGATGGGTTCATATTCAACACCCAAACACAGGAAAGGCGGGAAAGCAGCATTCAAAGATGAATGAAACAGAGAGGCACAGAAACATTAAAAAAAAAAAAAAAACGCATCACGGAGCTCAACTCTAGACATGACAGGGGAAGAACCCCTAACAGTACTACAGGTCTTTCTCGAACACGTTTCTACCTCACGAGTTAGCAAACTCTTATCGACCAATCAACATTTTTCCCCGGGAAGGACCGCTGCGCATAAATGGAATAGCAGCTGGGTACTTATGACACAGAGCTACTCTCCTGTTCTGGAGAAAGAGTGAGGGCATTGCGAACATTTGAAAACGGTTTCCTAGTATTCCTACACCAATCAAATGTGTTTGCAACAGGGCTATGCCAGCAACTGGCCGGTTGAACCCCAGGTGGTCCAACCGGAATTCCGGTTGGGCTAAGAGTAGGTCTTTTTTTTTTTTTTTTTTTTTTTAAACGAACGGTGGGACTGCGCTCGCCGAGATCTCCCCGAATCCCCAAAGAGAACTGTAAACAGAGAAGTTTCAGTCCATGGGAGTTGGGGGGGTATTTCAGGGGTTAAGGGTTGGGCGTCGAAAAGTTGAAGTCTCTCTCTCTCTCTCTCTCTCTCTCTCTCTCTCTCTCTCTCTCTCTCTCTCTCTCTCTCGCCAGTTTTTGCATTCTTCCCAGGCTCGGACGTAGTAGTGGTTTAGTAGGTTTTTAGCCGATGAAAAAGGAGGCGGCGAAGAAGAAGAGGAAGAGTAGGAGGAGGAGACGGCGCTGTAGCAGAGGGAGGAGGAGGCTCTCTCTCCCTCTCTCTCTCTCTCCCTCTCTCTCTCTCTCTCTCTCTCTCTCTCTCTCTCTCTCTCTCTCTCTCTCTCTCTCTCTCTCTCTCTC